CTTTTAATAAAACATTAAACAATAAATGTGTACCATATTCTTCTTCATGGAAAAATAAGACATCCCCTGAAAATAAGACCTAGTGCATCTTTGGGAGCAAAAATTAATATAAGACACTGTCTTATTTTCAGGGAAACGGTAGGTGTTCCAACGAAAGGAGATGCTAACATGTTTCACTTAAAACGTTGCCTTCCTGTCTATTATGCTTCAGGGGATCGCCATTGAAGCACAACGTCAGTTAATTAAGAAGAAGGTATGCTCAAAATAGTACCTACTGCACTGAAATGAAACTGTTTAGTTTATGTAAATTTCTAAAACCGGCACGTGACAGATGTCAGAGCAGTAGTCACTGGGACTTTGCTGCCAGGAATTCCCTGGGAAGGAACACGAGGGTACTTTATAGGGTGATGGATCTGCTTTAGATCTTAATAGGGGTGTGGGGGGTACATGCATGGGTGTATATATTTGTCAACACTCATCAAACCTTCCAAGCGGTTTAGGAGAAAACCTGAATATCAAAGTAAACCAGCTCCAAAGTAAATTGTACTTCTTGGGCGAGAAAAAAAAAGATTCTTATAAATTGCCCCTACAGTTCTAAAAAGCATAGTCTTTTGGAGGGCAACCACGCCCAATTTAGGGGTATAACTTTAGGTGGATACATTTCAATATATATAAATTAAATGTAATTTTTCTAAAAGATAAAAAGGCATTTTTATCTAAAAGAGTAGGAAGAACTACAGAGAATCGTATCGGCCCTCAAATGCCCGAACTTAGATAACCACTGATGTCAGCCACAGGTCCCTGGATTCAGAGGGGGGACTCCAACACTCTGAGTTCACCTATGACCCTCACCCATTCACTATCAAAATGTAAATGAACGAAAATGAAATAAATGGACGTTCTCTTTCTGAGTTGCACTCGCCGCACTTCAAGACCCCAGTAACCACACGTGGCTATCATACAGGCTATGGTGACTAGAGAACCTCTCCGTCGTCTTGGGGAACAGAGACAAAGCCTGCCCTGTTCTAGAACATTTTCTTCTGAGATAACTGTAATCGATGCTTTACCCTTTTCCCTGGAAGACAGACAAGGCACATATACATGTGCTACCACAGCAGACTTAATTCAGCCCCAATCACATCACAATACGGGTATCAGGTAGCGGATCTCAAGGGCTCAGAGCAGCCCCCTTCTTCTGCCCATGTGAACCCCTTGAAGTATCCATGTAGCTACAGACACTTCCTGATATCAAAGGAGGTCACTTACCCCCCTAATTCCCCTACTTTGTCACTAGGAACATAAACAGGTGTATGCAGCATCAATGGAAAGCAATTTGTCCATATCTAGCAAAATTGTAAATTCACATACCCACTGTTCACATTACCAGAAGCAGATCCCACTAGCCCCCTGTGTGTAAAATGAATTACATGGGGGGGGGGCTTCCAAAAGTTTGTGGAAAAGTGGAATTAGAATAGAATTTTTCCATGAATTTTTTGAAGCCTCTCCTCCACAGGCTACTCACAAAAGTATCCTTTGTTATACCAACCAGAGAGGGCAAGTCCAAGCAAAACCCCACCCACTGTGAAGCTGGCCTTCCGAAGCTCTCCCGTGCTCTGGACCCCCTTTTCTGGGAATCCAAAGGAATACACAGGAGCGAGCCGGGCCCTAGGTTAGCCCACCGATGCAGTGCTTTGTACCAACATTTAAAGAATGCGTGTGTCAGCAGCAGGATGTTTCTCTAACAAGACACGGTGGATAATTTGAGGGTTCATCTGCCAAGTGAAACTTGGCCTTGGGAAGAAATGTAGCAAATTTGTCTGTGTGTGATGGCACAGTATGTGTGGTGAGATTTCAGTGCATCGGGGAAAACGTGAAAGCGAAAACACCTCATCTCCTTAGCTAGAATTCCATAAATTAACCAACCAACCAATCAAACAGCCAACCGACAGACAGACAGACTGACTGACCAACCAGCTAACATAACTAGGAGCCTTGGTGGCTTAGTGTGTTACCAATTGCACAGGGACTGCGGTTCAAAAAACCTTTTGCACTGATGGAGAAAGGTGAGACATTCTACTCCCATAAGGAAACCCATAGGGGCAGTCCTACCTCGTCCTATAGGGTGCTATGCGTGGGAATCAACAATGAGTCTGCTTTTTTATCCTACAAACCTATCTCTTCAGAAGCCCAGCACAGCTTTAGTACTGAAAAGCGCAGAGGGCAATGACATAAGCCCTCTCCTGACCACAGCCACGTGCCTGGCCTCCCCAGTCCTCAGGGCTTCAGCAGTTTTCAGGGAACGAGCTATGATTACCTTAGGCAAACCCTTGCCCAGCAGAAACGGTTATTACCAAGCAAATGGGACGCTCATTTAGGGAAGGGAATTGTGAAGTGTGTTGCCATTAGGGCTAGACAAACACTGTAATTACCAGGTGCTTACCGAAAGTGGGGAGGCCAGCGACTGCGTCCAGAGGCAGGTGGGGACCAGCTTATGAACATGTGTGACCATGTGCACGTGTAGGTGTGAATCCTGTGCACGCACAGTCTTAGGGCTTGCCGCTGCTAATTTATAAACGAGAACCATATGGACCGCTGACCCAGGGGGCGGTGGCTGCAGTTAGACACTGTGCCAGCCACATCCCTTGGATGGGAAAGCAGCAAAGATCCAAGTTCCTTACAAACCCATCAGAAAATCAACCCTCTTCTAAAGCAAACCTCACACACAACTCTGTAAGGGAAACCGCCAGGGCCAAATTAATGGATTATACAAACTGGAAAAGCCATTTAGGCGAAACATGCCCGTTTGTCCTTGATGTCTGTGGCTCTGACTTTTATCTGAGGAACGCTGGCAGTGAAACCCCGGTGAGCAAGGGGTTCTCAAACCCATGAGGTTCATCAAATGCATTGCCAAATGAGAGAGCGCGGGGACGAAAAACCGTGGGCTGGAAGTGGGGTTCTCAGAACCCAGGAGGAGAGACACTCACCTGTTTGCTCGCAGGGTTGGCGGGTCAGCACAGTAAACATCTCTCCCAGCTGCCGGGAGAAAACAGAGTGACCATGTGGCCCTGGGTTCTAGCTGAACAAGTTCAAAAGACTTGCACGCTTTGAGACCCCACCCCACTCCACCCTTCCTCCATCCCCAACTCATGGGGGTCGGGGGGAGGGGGGCAGATGGGGCCAAGCTTACAATTTCCAAGGTACATCCGAAGTCAGTCTGGGCCTGATTCTACTATACTATCTCATGCCCTAAGGCAAGCAAGGGTTAGGAGCCAAGACCTCCTGAAACTTTTAAACGGGGAAAAGAAGGATTCCCCTGAAGAATCCTCTTTCTTTTTCTTTAAGTCGCACCCCACCCCCACCCCCTTCTACACATCATGGAGGGGACGCGGGGGTGCTAGAACCAATCTTGCTCCTGTGATTAACAGCCGGCCTTTCCCTCCCGGCACAGCAGCCAGCGAGGTGCGTCTGGTACCTCCCCGAGCCCCGAGTCGCCCTCCCGAGAGCCAGGAGGGACTATCCTTAGCGGTTGGCTGGGAATAAATCTCGGGGAACGTCCGACCCGGGGCGGATCGCGTCCCTCTCAGTCACCGGCATCCAAGTGCCCAGCGCATCTCCTGCCCCCTGGAAAGCACCGGGGGAGAGCCCTGTCCTCCCAGCCGGAGACTGGCAGGGACCACCTTGCGCCGGCGCCGGCTTTGGGGATCGCGTCCCCGGCCAGCCCCGGGACCCGGATTCCCTTTCCTGCCTTCTCAGCCCCAAGTCTCGCGCAGACGCCCGCTCTTTCCCGGGCGGCTCCGCACGCGGCCCCGGATCTCACC